AATGTACAACACTGATATTTATGATACATATGATTTTGGGCAATTGCATTCAAAAGTTATTTGTGCATACATCGTTTAATGGAATCAACTACTACAAAAACATTAAATAAACAGTTTGTTGACCATTTCTAGATCTAAGACTTGGGACACGATCAATTTTATGCCATTGGGTCATGTGCATTATGAGAACGCGTCAGTATAGAGATGCTTGCACCTGTTGACATGTAATCTTACTAGAATTTCTTGTTTCTTGTTATTATTTCAATGGAAGTCAAATATAATATAATATTTTGATAACTGATTTACAGTGAATTTTTTAGGCCATTTTTCAAGTTATTATTTACTCAATACTGGCCTGTGTGACATTTTGCCAAAACAAGCCTCAAATGTGCCAAGTGATATTCATTAAGCCTTACCTTGCTATTACATTATCATCTTTTGACAGCTTTATCAGGGAGTCATCGGATTCACCCTAAAGACAAGTATTTTAATATAATTACTGTACCATCAACATCATTTTTATTGTTAAATACAAAACCAAAATAAAATGTTACACATCACATGTTTGTTAGTAGCCCTATACATTATTCAATATTGAACATAGAGTACAGTATTTAAACAATGTTTACCGTAATTTCAATACGAAAAGTGAAAAAAAAAAAACGATGCCATTCACTGAAAGCGTTTTTATTATTTTTATCATTATCCAGTATCACAATCAGGGTACACTTTTTAAAATTCAATTTTCTATGCTCAAGTTAATAAATTGTATGTTACTGCAAAATGATCAAGTAAATTTCAAAACTATACTTTATGATTTTTTTTTGTAATTTTCAGGGGTCAATACACCTCAAATAAACAAAAAGTATAATCTAATGGTAAGATACAATTAAAAAGTATCTGAACATCAATTGCATATCGATCACTTGATACCAACAAACTATGCCATTTAACAAACGTATCAGTATAGAGAGCCCTCAACTTTCATTCTTACCATTCGTCTGATGGCACCACAGATAGCATACGTCTTGAATGTGCCGGTGTACATACCAGTGGTTGGATCAACCTAAAGAGAAAGAATATATTGTGCACATATAAATAATTACTCCAGCAGTGTGAATACTGAGAGTTGTTAAACTCTGTCATTTTATGTGACAAATAAATGTGATATGTCCATATTTGGGTGTAGCATGAGATCATCATTCCCATATATGGGCACACAATTTTATCACAACAAAATTTGATAATGTGGACAGACCTTTCAATGACAATCAAATAGGTAGCCTGCAAATTTCACAGTTTTCTATGCTCATTTTTATGAAATATGCAAGAAAATGTAATAAATTATATTTTATTTCATTTACACTTTTTCTGATTGGTGGTAATCGGTAGTAATCAAATACCATGCATTTAACTGATTAGGGTGATGTCACACCCTACAACACTTGGTAACGGATAGTTGATGACTTGTATAAAAAACGCCGTGGCTAGAGATACGGTACCATATCGAAAAACTTCCGATTGCTAAAGGTACGGTAAATAATATTACGCCATGATTAGCCAATAGAAACGTAAATGCATGCGTGACGTCATTCAGTGCACTGCTGCTGCAAGAATAGTGAGTGTGTGTTTTAGGTTTTAGCAACGATCGAAGATAAGAAATTTCATTCGTTCGCGGGTGTTTTGACTAGCTGTAATTAATATTCTGTAGCCCGAGGCCCTATAGCAAATAAAAAGGATAGCAGTTTTGCTAGATTTGGCAACATCAAGCGACTGAGTAAACTATTTTAATAGTAGAAGCCAGGCCTAGGCCTTGCTACCGGGCCCCTACTACTGTGCATACTAATTCCCTGTTTACTCTCACTGATAATTATAATCGTCATGTTGCTTGGTTGGCTATTTCAATCAGCAATAATAACTAGTGCCTACTATTCTATAGGCTTAGGCTAGGCCCCTAGTATTAGCACTACAGTACTAGGCCAAAGCCTAGCCTAGTTGTACGCCTATAATAAGCATCGGCCCCTAGGCGGGTATTCTCCCTGTGCCCTAGGCCTAAGAAGTAGACCATTCTCTATGGTAGACCATAAAATACACAAGAATAACAGAAAGGACTTTTAACCCAAACATTGTGATAAGCCCCAATCGAAATACATGAAATGGGCCTATTATGACATAAATTTGATCGTAACTGTTCGCGCCACACGTTTCTCATGATCGCGACGTCAACTTTGCAAAAAAAGCCAAAATCGAGTCGGTCATTTCTATTGGCTAATCATGACGTAATATCATTTACCGTACCTTTAGCAATCGGAAGTTCCGATACGGTACCGTATCTCTAGCCATGACGTATAAAAAAAACACATTGGAGATGTTTAAGATAGTTAGTTTTAACTTAACTGTGATTGGTTGTTATTTCCTTCTATGTTCTATACAATTAAAGTGTAGACTGAACATCTTTAAAATATTTAGGACCAATACAATAAAATTTACTTGACTGTATCACTCCACTACTGAGAAACACTCACCTCAGCAATATTTATCTGAACTGAAGCATGGTCTTTAGCACTGATGATTCTGTTGCTTGTTGAGCTGAAAAAAAAAAATTAAGATGACCAAATTCAAAGATGCAACTATTAACCCCAAAAAAAAGAGAACATCAACATAGCAGCTCTTCTTAAATTCAAGTCCTGACCTTGTTGGGTGGCTAGCCTATGCTTAAATTATTATGAAGCTCATTTGCCTACATTCAACAAGGAATTTGATTTGGAACAAGAAAGGCCATCATGCTCAACCATTGTTGTTTGTGGGAGACTAATCTGGCAGCCTGGGCACCCCACTCCCCACCAGGAATTAGTCTGGAAGTTATTTAAGTAGCCTACTAGGGCCTAGTTAGTAGTAAACAATATAGCATTGTCTCTGCAAAGTGGCTATGCTCTAGCTAGCGGCTCTAGGCTACCGTTCTCTGGGCCTAGCTAGGGTAGTCTGTCCGAATTCGATCCAACTCGGCCACAAGTCAACTCGGCCACAGTCAACTCGGCCACAAGTCAACTTGGCCACAAGTCAACTCGGCCACAAGTTAACTCGGCCACAAGTCAACTCGGCCACAAAAAGTTTGGCTACGTTCTACTCGGCCACAAGTCAACTCGGCCACAAGTCAACTCGGCCACAAGTCATCTCTTCTAAAGAACACGCCCAATGTTTCTAAGCATATGTTACCCGTATTACTGAACGACATTGACTTACGGCCTCACCAGTTTAAAGTTAACTAATTTCTAATTTTGAATTATTATGCGTTCCGAAGAACGGTCACAAATTGCATCAAGCAACGATATTTCACGCCGCTCGTGCGGGGTATTGGGATAAGTTTTCAACTAGCAATAATCACGCCTCGGATAAACCTCATTGGCTATGATATCGCCTCTGCGCAAAGATAACCAAACTTCCTAAAAGTTAGGTATATATTTTACACAAGTACTCACTAAATACTGGTGTCATTTCCAAACATTAATTTTCAGTTAAAAAATTCATATTCTACATTTCTTTTCAAGTAGTAATTGCGTTTACAGTAAATAAGATTTGCATTATTATTTTCTTAAATTCAAATAGATGTAAAATAATTTATTTATTTTTATTCCGCAAAAAAGTGTGCTAATGAATATTCATGAAAAATAAAGCGCGCCATGTCTATTGCAAAAAGTCAGGTTATGCATGCATATTATGTCGATTTGTTCACTAATGATTTTTACCCTTTATGATAATGCTTTGAGTGACAATTTTTACAACTAGGCATAGGGCCATATAGCATATAATTTATTATTTTTAAGTTATTAACAATTTTAGATTATAATGTGCAATATTATAATAATATATAAACTGCGGTGGTGGACCTTTCCTGTTTGGCCTATTCGACACATTTCTACTCCTCCTGGTATACACTTGCACTTCTGGTGTCCTTAGGGGTCGGCTTTACCCACCAGAACCAGAGAATCATACTATCATTCCAGATTTCTATCTTTACATTGCTTTATTAAATTTTTTTATAAAGTGCAGGAACCCCAAAGGCTCTTAATGTCAAATACCGTGTCAATTATCTAGAAGAAAAAGGTTTGTTTTGTCGTCTTTTTTTAGCTTAAAATTCTTGTCTTTCTAAAAACGATAATCTTGATATTTTTCTTTGTAGTTTCAACCAATTTAAGTGTGTTATTGTCGACCTTGTTTAATTTTATTGCGAGTTTTTGTCATTATTATTATCCCTGTATTGTTTTTATTGATATTTATTGTTATTCTTTCTTTATATTGCTTTTATATAATTGTTTTCCATTTTATATTATGATAATAAATTGTATTTTATATTTTATTTCCATCCTGTTATTTGTATTTTACACTGTTGGATACAATAAATAAATTAAAAAAAACAAAACAAAAACACATTAGTGGCGGGATTTTGGAATAGTTCCGACCGCCTGGCTGGCAATATTACTGTAATTGACCTATTTTTCACCAAGTGGTACGGTATGTCTGCATGACAATCAGCTTTGTCTGGATAATGGATCATATATGTAACTCTTTTTATATTTGTACGTTTATTTGTTTGTTTGTTATTTGTATATAGTTTATTTTTATTTCAATACTCTAATTGGAAACTTTCGTTACTGTTGGATTTTGAGCAATACAAACAAAAAAATATTTTGTTTGTAAATATTGTTCCTTTTCAATTTAAGAGGTTTGCTAAATTATGGATCCAAATGAATTTGTTTTGCTGTACTACAATCCATTATAAATGTTTTATTTCAGTTTGTTGTTTATAAAGCCAACAAAATCAAATCAAAGCATTCATTATTAGGATGATTCATATTACTCTAAAAACATGTAGGCCAAATCCAGTGTAGGGCAGAGTTCATAAGACCACTCATTCAAGGTGAATAAATACCCATTGAATTGAATCCTTCTTGCCAACGTCACCAACAAAGTGATGCTTTTATACTAAATCCGTCAACCATTCAACAATCGAAATCACGAATGCACTCCATTATCAACCTTCAGGTCCGAGTAGCAGACAACAAAACACGCCTAAAGTAAAGATGAACTATTCCCTTACCTAGGTCGCATTAATGTATTTTAAATACATAGGCATACATCAAAATCAAACACTTTGCTGAGTCACGAAGGCAAGGCCGTCACTTGAGGTACAGCTGACTCCAAGTCTATAGATATTGCAGGTAGGCCAAGACGGTAGACAGTTTCGTTTTGTAGCCTTATATTCTATAGTGTTTGTTCACTAAAAGGTGATTTGGTTGATTCGGTACTAAACGTTTTTTTTATATTTTGTACAAGAAATCATACAGACGATCAAATACAAAGAGGTATAATGAAATATTTGTTACGGTGTCGAGCGAAAAGAGAATACAAGTTGTTCATATAGTCAATTTCATACGGACATATCTATAAAATACAGTATGTACATATATTTTTTCTGACTGCCCCATTAATGATTATAAGAATATTGAAATTGATTTGTTGCATTGTCTAGAATTGAGTGTAATTAGCGATTAAGGTGTGACCTCCTGTTATTCTGACAGTCATGCTTCCTTTAACCGTGTCTTACATCTTTAAGTGCTTTTCCCGTACCAGAATGCGATAAAACCAAGTCAATGGTACAATCCTACTGCCACGTCAAACACTAAATTTAATATTGTATTAGTCTTTATAATATGTTTTACACGAGGAAATTATATTACAGTAACATAGCAAGATTTGTCTTACAATTTATCCAATCTAGTCCACTTAAGCATTAAGCAGTTGGATAAAAGAGGGTATGTTTCTAGTGTGTAATTGTGAAATCTCTTTACAGTTAGATAATATTAATCTCTGTCCATCCGAAGAAACGTGTAATAATGACTGAAATGACTGAAAAATAGAAAGTTTCAACCATTAAATCTCTCAGAATACTGAAGACAATTTCTCAGGGAATCCTTTAAGTAACTTGTTTTGGGCCAGACCTCCCCTTCCCCATTCTATGTCCGCATTTCTATCCGGGCGCCTCCAGACACTGCTCTATATTTTGAAATATTGGTGTCGAAATCCTGAATCTGAGATGAAAATATAATACAAAATAATATTCAAATAGATTTTTAATATCCATTCAATTATTTATACTTTTGTTTTTGTTTTAAACAGGCCGAACGATGTCTGAAGATAACATAGCAATGCTCCTGGAATGTTCCCTCTGCTTCGAGCAGTATGACGAGGAGTTCCATCTTCCCAAAGGCCTACCATGTTACCATACATTCTGCCTGGAATGTATGCAGCAACTACAGAGTGATCGGAAACCACCTCGTTTGAAATGTCCCGAGTGCCGAACTCAGCACACTCTGCCTGCAGATGGCGTCAAAGGACTCCCGAGCAACGTCACGATTACCAGTTTAGTGGAGCTGAAGTCACAGTCTGCCTCGAGTTATCTTCGCGGAAACAATGACCTTAGGAAATGCTTAGTGAAGAGAACAAGTGAACTAATGAAGGAGGTAGACGAATTTTCGAAAATGGTGCGACAGAGGAGACAGTTGAACAGTAGGGCTGAACTTGCGAAAAGTGAAATTCAGAAAAGTTTTAAACAGCTTGGTGAAGAGTTGAAACAACGTGAAAAGGAGCTTTTCGCACAGATCGATAGTCACGTGCGTAACGAGATTGAATCCCTAAAGACTAAACAAAAGACATTTCACGATAAGGTATCTAAAATTCAAAATTTTAACAAAGATATTCCAAGCGGACATATCGAAGAAACTAGGTTAGTTGAACTCCTTAAAAAATGTACAGACTATGGGAAAATAGTCAGTGAAATGCAAGAAAGCTTGAGCTCTGAAATTAAGAAGGTTGTCTATGTGGAAAGCGGCAAAGATATATTATCGGCTGCGCAAAATGGATTTGGAAAGGTTCAAGTTGGCCAATCAAGATCGAGTAATGCTAGTAAAGCATCCCTAAAACAAGCGGATGTAAATGTTAATGCACCACCTGTTCAATCCAAACCAAGACGACCTAATTCCATAGCAAGTATAGATCCTGAACGGTATCTTGAGATAGCTTCCAGTAGTGTAGAGCCACGTCAGCTGGACAGGCATCGACGTAACTCATCAACATCATCTTCATCGCAACCGTTTCCCCCGACCATACCCAATGAACGACAGAAAATTCCTCCCCCACCTAAAACTAGAGACAGACGGCCCTCTGGCAATGCTGACGCTTTCCAGAAACGCACTGCACCGGGTGCATCAGCGATGTTAAACTTATTTAATATGGAACTCAAGCAGACTATAAATCTAAAACAAAGAGAATCGACACTCAAAAATAAAGGAGAGCCAAGTAAAGTTTTCGGAATGGGAGTTTTGGGAGTTCCCCATGACGTGGCAGTAACACAAGGAAAATATTTTGTAGTCGACAGTGAAAATCACTATGTGCACGTCTTCAACCCATCTGGACAACATTTGAAGATGTTTGGGGGTAAAGGCATGAAGAAAGGCCAATTGATGCACCCAAATGGAATTTGCACCAATTCAAAGGGTCAGATTCTAGTCGTCGATGCTACATTATTCATTCAGGTGTATGACTCTACAGGTAAACCAATAGATCAAATGGGCATTTGTCGCACCAAACGATCTCAAAGCTTTAATTACAAATCAACAGGCTTGGATTGTGATGATGTATGTAATATTTACGCCTGTGATCCAGATCACTACTGTATCAAAGTTCTTGACCAGCGAGGTGTCGTCATCAGAGATATTGGGCACCACGGTTGGGGTGATGGCGAATTTAAGTATCCGTCCAGTTTGACAACATTCCAAGATAAACTCATCGTTACCGATCTATTAAAACATTGTATCATGGTATTTGAACAATCTGGAAAGTTCTTCTGTTCGATTGGTTGTGAAGGTATAGAACTTGGCCAGATGAGAGAACCCACTGGTGTAGCAGTGGACGATTATTTCCTTATTGTTGTGGACTCTGGGAATCATCGTCTGCAGGTGATCGACAGAGCTGGTAAATTCATAACGTCGTTTGGTGGGAAAGGTAGGGAGAGTGGAAAGCTTGAGTACCCAATGGGCGTTGTAATGACGGGGGGAGGAAATATTGTTGTGTGCGATTCAAGGAATAAAAGAATACAAGTGTTTTAGGTTCGTGTGCTAGGCAAGAGTTGCATTTCTGATCTCAATTTACCAAATTGAACACAAACATTCGGTCCGGGAAAACAGTAATGTAGGCTACATTTGTTTCCACATAGCGTATGTTTCCACACGTATGACAAACTAATCTACATGAAACGCTACAGCGTTGTTATAGACCTAGCCTATAATCAACTTGGCGAACTTGTAGGCAGCCTAAAAAACTGATAAGAAGTGGTCACCTCAATGTTGCCTGCAATGATGACTCATAGATTTCATTCAAACCGTTATTCGCATCAACTTTGATGAAAATGTGTATTGTCCACACTGATTTATTCGAACCCGGTCCAACTACAGTTCGGCTGCTCAATATACAATGTGGAAAAATCGTCGTTTGTTTGGATTTTCACAACAGGACTATGGACACAATTCATTCATTTCAAAATTAAAGTGAAGAATGTTTGGCTGGTTGGTTTATAGGTGTAGCTGGTGTAGGCATACTGTGTTCAGTACACCACTTTTGGTTCTGCTAAAACCGCTTGAAAATATCAATAATTCCAAGATTGGTTCTCGTAAGGCCGTGTCTGAGGTGTAGGCCTACATTTTGGAAGGACTTTCATTCTATGGACGTTTCCAGTTCCGCAAGAGATTTAATTAAGCATAATAATTAAAGCACGTCAAGAGACAATTAATATGTGCCGAACAACAGGACCATTGAACCGAAACATACATCAACACAATGCAAACTCTAAAAACAACACGAAATATTATTGTCTTATTCTGCCTTAGACCAAGAAAAATCGTTTTAAAGAAGTAGATTGTTAAAAAAAACAAAAACTAAAAAACAAAATATAAAAACGGAAGAGACTAGTGAAATGTTACAGGCGTGGTTCAAAGTATATATTTTAGTAACAAAATATATGCAATTTCTATTTAAATTAGTCGGTAGGATAGGGCGTGGCCCATGAACGTCTATATCTGCCACTTATACAATATTAATATAATGGAGCTATTTTTAAACGTACGTGGTATATATTCTATACATAGGCCAGTTGTTTAAAAAGTATTTTAAGAGAAAATCAAAGATGAAGTAGTTTAAACGAAAACAGTAAAAAGTGTATTCTTTAGGACTTTTCATGATTACTATACTGAACTCTACACTAGCAATCCAAGAGATGCACCGTCATTAATGAGCTAAAAGCCTTTTAATATATTTTAAATTATGCTTGTATCTGTAAATTATGACAAATCCTGGCCAATAACTGGCAAACGTTCCTTTACTTTGTATCAGCCCTTTGGCTACACCTAAGAATCTCCGTGCGTCAGTTTGTGAAAAAAGGAATTGCTTCTATCTTGTGTCATCATGAAGTTCATTACTGTAACTATATCTCATCACAAATTAATGGCGTAAGGTTAAACATGCTCACACGACTTAAGCGATTTTTAGCCTACAAATCACCTGCTCAGACGTCAGAGTGGTGATTTGACTTGGTACCATAAGTCGTTAAAGCTTTTAGCCTCTATTATGTAGTGGTTATTCTTTGATTTTAATTTGTCCATTGTTTCTTTCTTAAAATTGGCTTTGAGTTTCACAATTTGTTTCAATGCAATAAAATAAATGTTTCGTTAATTCGCTGTTTTAAAATTTGTAATTAGAGTACAGTAGTTTACAAATTCCTCGGCCGATTTGTTTTGAAAATAAACACAAACAACAGGTGGGCCAAAAAATCAGGAGAAGGCGGTGACGGTAAATAAGTATAGAGTACTTATTTATTTTGCCTAATTGAATTCTTAAGCAGTTTATTTTCCAGATTTTACAACAGATAAATTTGGAAATACAAAATATAAAACATTTCTTGATTTCATTTCCACTATTTTAAGGAGACAGTAAGCACGCCTGGGACAATTGTGTTAAGTTTTCATCTTATATTCAGTACATTTTCATTGAACAACCGATACGAATGGCTAAGAGCCAATGTGTTTCATTCTGCATTTATTAAACAAACTCTATAAGCGATTGAAACCAGAGATCTGAATTCTGTTTTCTTTAGATGTCAATTTATTCATGATTATGAATAAAACAATACTTATTCATGAGGGTTTCTGCCAATGGAAACAAGCCATTTTGATAAACTATTATGAACTCTGAATAAAATACTCAACAACACACATTCATTCTTAAAATTTAAATATTTGACTTATATTCAACTGTATCTGAGTAACTAGTGTTATCATACCAGTTCATTATATTTAAATGAATACCATAAAAGCAAATTATAATATTGACATAACTAATAAGTAATACTACAGTGCTCAATAATACTTAATAGTTATTGTATAGAATATCTAACAATAAACACCACAGAAAAAGGGAATGCAAATCATGTTTGAAGGGAAAAAAAATCATATTATAATCTTGATGAATGCTGGGAAAGATAATAAACTTGCTCCGCTTAAACTTTTGTAACATGATCAAAATGTTTGGGAGCTTTTGAACTGCGCGATGATGTGATGCTAAAATGGATTCACTCAAGCGTGACCGCCCTACATTCTCTGGACAACATAGATTTTGTCAAATTGCGTCCTAAAACGCAGGCGACGAGAACTTAACATTCCCGCATGCGCTGACGACTTTTTAGCGACGTCATTAACAGTACACTACATCTTTTCTTTGGTTGTCAATATGTACATACATGCATTTTCTACAGCATATAAGGTTTTATTTTTGTCCCCAAAAAAGACAATTCTTAAGGAGAAGTTTGCGTAGGAAAACCCAGCGGACTGTCGCTAAAATTTAAACTGAAGAATGTGGCTGTATTGTACTTCAGCAAAGAAATGCTGTAAAACTTTTACTCATGAGTTAGGCAATATTAAGACGATTCCAGTAAATAACCTATCATTTTAAAACTTATGAAGTGGAGAATGTGAATATATTAAAAAGTAAATTTTCTTGTTTTGTCACTAAAGCTGGTTTGGCATGGCTAGCCCCTTATGTTATGTAGCAATGTCTTTCAGAAGAGATTTTAAAAGCTACTGGTTCTGGGTACAATATGTCCTATGTGTACATTAAAGAAGGCAATACACGCTAAATGTCAAACTTTGTCACTTTTGTCCCTTTTGTCCCTTTAACTGTCCAATTTATGACCAGGAGTTACAAGTACTAAACTTTACTCAACCACGATTAACTAAATGGTTGCTGTCTTTGGCTGGCTAAAAATCAGCACAACAAACAAACACAATATAAACAACTAAAACAAATAGTGCTTAGAGCATCAAATAAATGAGTTTTACTGTTTAAACCACTTTATTTAATATGTTATTATAGATGGTGGAAAGACATTGCAAGTGTTCTAAACACAAAATAATAAAAACTAAAAAACAAATTACCACAGAACACACTTATTTAAAATTGTGCAATGGCCATTGAAATCTCAATTATATATAACGCCCTGTATGTACATCACACCCTGTATTTCTAAAATGTATTGATTTGATAACCACTATTCTCATTTTAACTGCTTTTGTTTCAAATACTTATCCATAATCTTCAACTGTAAATCAGCAGCCCACAATCCTGAGAAAATGTCTTTCTCTTTTTTCATTGCTTGATCAAGAGGAAGCTCTGAACCAGCTAGAACAACTTTCTTTATCGCTTGAACAACTTGATATGGCGCGTTAACGAAAGGAGTCAGCCAATCAACAGTTTCCATTAATGGATCTTTGGTTTGTGGAACAGTTTCATCAGAGAGGCCAATCGCTCGAGCAGTTGCAGCATCCATGGGATTAGAACTACACAACAGTTTTAATGCTTCCCTGTGGCCAACTATGTTTACAAGTCTAGCGCCCCCGCCCCATCCTGGTGAGAGACCAAGTTTCCTGTGTACAAATTGTATCATGGAATCTTCGGTCATTATTCTGAAATCACATGCTGTGGTAATCTCTGCTCCACCACCCATAGCTCTGCCATCAATGGCAGCAACACTGATCAGAGGAAGGCGCTGCAGACGTGATAATGTGTTCTGCATAAAGAGGCACATCATCGTGCCTGCCTGAGCTGTCTTTAGTTCCTGCATTGAAGTCAGATCAGCACCAGCACAGAAGTTCTTTCCTTCCGGGCTTCCACGGAGGACCACAGCCTTTCCTGTGCTCCAATTTTCAAGTTCAGAAATAGCATCAGCAAGTTCTACCATCATTGAACCTAGTTTGAGAAAAAAAAATTAAAATAGTGTCATTATCATCAGACATTTTGTATTGTGACCTTTTCAGATGATGTGGAGCACACACAAACTATACAGTAATATTTTGTTGCTTATGTTAATGTTCTTTTTTTGTGATTTTTTTAAAATTTGTCAATGTCGTATTCTTTATGTTTATGAAAGTACATCTTGCAAAGGTCCTCAAGATCCACAACTGTAGGTTATCAGGGACTGTATGATGTACTGGGGGAGGGGGGTCTATAAAATGCACATGAGCCATTTGTGTACACTGGGCCTACGAGAAGAGTAGACTTGTTCAACCACCAGAACCATAGGCGAGCATGCCGATCGAACCAGCATCGATCAACATTGAAAAGATGGTGTGCTTTTGAAGCTTGCATTTCAGCCCTCAAGCTAACCACAAGAAGAGATGGGAATTAAACCGTGGACCTAGAGATCTTCACGGCTTAGCACACACATAGTCGCTACCACCAATTTAGGCAACTGTACTGTAGCTGTTAACTCTGGATATGGATTTTGAAACAACATTCAGGGTTTAATTATGTATAATCCCCTGTGCCAATGAACTGGCATTACCTAATACTGCAAAAAAAAATGCTGTGTTTAGAAAATGTGGTATATTTTTCTTTAACTTATCACTTTTAAAGTATTTTTGTATTAAAGTAACTCAACATAATCAGTTTACAGGGGTCCCAATTTGGAAGAAGCCAATTCCGGGAAATCATGCCACTGATCTGGTTAATGAGCTTTCGTAGCATTTATTTAATTATGCTGCACATTGTGATATACATTGGTAAAAACGTCTGTGAGACAATTGATAATAAAGCAGTGAAAGCATGCAAATATTATGAAATTGTGTGATATAGGTTATTTCCTGGAGATTCTAGCTTGCTTGCGGGAGTGAGGGAGGCTGTCCCAATTTCCAGGATATTCCTTTAATTTCCGGGAGTATTGGGGCCCTGAGTTTATTATTTAAGGTTTGCAAAAAATACAGAATAAATAATTGTGTGATTTGCTTGATGAGGCTAAGCCTTGTTCAATGCTTCTGCATTAAAAAATGTGTATGTCTAGGCTAGGTCAACCATTTTTAAAGTGAGGTCCATTTTATGTCACTAATATAGTGCTACAATAGATGCATTGTTAGGAATTCTCTTGGCTTTAAGAGTCGACACCCACCTCAGCCCCACCATGTTTGGGGCTGCGGTGAGAACATTTTAAGATACTTGTAGGTTTATTACAAAAAAAAACATGAATTTTGAAAGAAAATTGCATAATGATCAATATTTAGGACTTCAATTGTTTTATCAACAATAATAAACACACCACTCAAAGTCATACTATGTACATTTCCTACCTGACAGTGCATTAGCATTCTTAGTATTGTTAAAAGTAACCACTGCAACACCAGTGGCATTATTCAGTTCTCGCTCCACACTCCCTCCTCCAAGCCCCTGCAGGGTGACCCGTTGAGTGCTCTCAATATAAAGCGGAGGTCTCATACTGTCCTTTGGTGCATTCAATTCTGAGTGTTGAATCTGTTGGCTTGACGTCATCTCGTTCAGATTCACAGCAGTTACACCTTCTTTGTAGCAACTACGTTGTATGACCGCCCTCACCACCGGAAAAGCCCGGCACAAAAATTTACCCCGTGAAAACATAATTGTTATGTCTGCAAGAAAGCAACAAAGTTACATGTATCTTGTTTTTAAGTTTGTGTAACTTTAAAATACATTGGCCTGGTTATTCCTTGATATACCGACTATTATGTTATATAATTATTATACATTCACTGAATGCGATTAGGAATTCACCATGGCAGCACGCAACCAAATAAATTATTTATCAAGTTAAAATTTTCAACAGCTCCACGAATTATTGTTTAGGCGAGACTTTTTTTTATACCTTGTATAGCGAATCCGCCGCCCACCCAATAATAATTTTGACCAAAAAAAATAATATTTTAGGCCAATTATCACACCCAAAGCCAATAAAAAATTGAAATTTCAGAAAAAAAAACAAAACATTTTCTTTATTTTTATTACACCCGCCACTGCCTTGAAATCTACGAAAATCAGATATGTACCAGTATATTTCTTCCTAATTATAAATTTGAAGCATTTAACCATCCCATTACTACATTGTTTGCATTCACCCATAAAATTTTATTTTTATTTTCCCCTCCATCTGGATGTTTATGGCTGGTAAAACTATTTCCTAAATAAGAATTTTTTTTTTCGCCCTCCTCTGATGATTCTTGGAAAAATTGTTTTCGCAAAAACAAGGTAAAAGTCGCGGCTTATTTCTTCAGCATTGTTTTTCATCATTAAATTTTACACGTGTTTGCTTCCCATGGTTTTTATGTGCATCTTGGATCTTGATAATATACTCGCTGCTCAATCAAGTATCTTGATTGTTGTACAATTTTCATTTAGGCCTTACTAGCCCTACCTAGTCCAAGCAGGAAGTTGTTAATTAGGGATTAATATAGTGACAGCAACCTTGTTTGAAGGAGCAGTAAAAAAAAGTAAAAGTAAATTGGAACAGTATAGAAAACAGATTACTAGTACAATGACTGACATCCTTCCACAAAATACTTAATGGAAGAATGGACAACAACCCAGAAATATATATCAAACATAAAACTAAAAGGCCCAGATGAACCCATGACCAACAATTCAACACTGTCACAGTCCGGTGTGCTTCAACCCCGTTTCAACTATCATTTTTCCCTGAAGTTGTACCGATGGAATAATCTACAGCAGAAAGTGACCGATATCTATAAAACGGCAACAGACCAAAACGGCAATGACAAGTACCAAAACGGCATAAACCAAAATGGCGAAGGAGCGAAATCAATGCCAAGACTAGCAGTTTATAATTTTCTAAATCATTTTGAAATTGTCCCAATAGGCAAATCGAATATTGCCATGGGGTGTTTTTCCCACTTTTAATGTTTATTATTATTTTTATTATTATTTTGCATGTTTTACCTTTATGACATAAATTGCTTAGCCTCATTTTGTCTGTATTTTGAAAGTTTTGTTTGTTAAAATTTTTTCTGGTTTTATATTGTTTCCCCCAATCTTTTTAATATTGAATTTGTATGATAATAATATAATAATAAAATGATAAAATAATAATAATAATAATAATAATAATAATAATAACAATAATAATAATAATAACAACAATAACAATAACAATAATAATAATAATAATAATAATTATTATTATTATTATTGCTGCTGCTATTTAGCCTCTTTTTTACCATATTTAATCGTAGTACACTTTAATGTTTATAATTAGTTTATTTTTTTGCGTTTTTAATTTTATGAAATAAATTCTTTAGCATTGTTTTGGTCTTGCCGTTTTGACTTATTGCCCATTTTGTTTTATTGCCGTTCTGGTCGAAAAGTGTTGCCGTTTTGGTTTTTTGCCGTTTTGGTCATTGCCGTTTTGACTTACTGCCGTTTTGGTTTATTGTCGTTTTGTCCAGAAACCAAAATAATACTTTACTCTTGTTGAACTTCCTTCCAGTCATAATCCCTAGTGGATGTTTTGGAAGCAACAACTACAAAGTACAAGGTAGCTAGGTCTAGCTAGGCCTACATGCATCAGCATCCTTCTTAGACCTAGCCCATACCAATATTTACCCGTCTAGGCCTAGGCCCTAAGGCCTAGTTATAATATCTAGGTAGGCCTTGCCTAGTAGGGCCTACACTCTAAGTCACTCACTCTCAGAAGCATCCCTTCAATCAACCTAGACTTGTTGGCAGTCTAGAGCCAGGCTGTACCTAGCCTAGGCTTAGTGTAGATAGTGGGTAGCCGTTAGGGATCTCTCTAGGCAGGGCCTTCCCCCTAGGCAGGCCAGGCGTCCTAGGCCTACGCCTACCCTAGCTAGAGAACATAATATAGGCCTAGGCCTACTTTATAGTGTTTACTTACGTTTAAAATATCAATATATTTCGAGTTTAGAAAGAGGAACCTAGAAAAGAAACATTAAATTTATACGGACTGATGCTGATGACATAGCCAATCAAAAAGTGATGGAAATGACAGGGTATCGTAAACGATTACTAGCCTAGGCCTACTACTACAAGGTTATTCCGTTATTGTTTCATTTTTTTATGCAACCGTGTGTCGTCACCTTTGACCGTCCGTAATTTACAGAAATAATAATTAAATACACCCCTACATAAATTGTGCTTGCTTTGGAAAACAAATCGCTATGCTTATTTGAAACTGTGAAAAACTGTGTTCAATTTAAAATAATGTATGCAAATTATGATAATTAAATGAAGATGTTTTACCTATCCATTCGGTATCCCCTCACATTATTCTTACTAAAGTTCGCAATTGAGAGAAAATATGAAACAACGCCTGGCAACTACCATCCCGCGAAAACAAATGTGTTCGCGCGAAATCGTCACTTCATTTTCAAGGATTTCTTGTGATTAACTGAAATTATAATTATTATTATTATTATAGTGATGTGGGGAAACGACGGAGGTAAGGTAGTCTACGCTAAGATACATATATTTCTCATGCTACTATAATTTGAAGAATTGTATTATTTTGCTCACGAAAGGCTGAATTTATAGTGATTCAATCGAAAGCAAATTGAATTGAAGCACGATCATCGATCGATGTGCATGGATGGAATGGGAAGGTTATGATGAGGACACATTTGCAAGCGCCTAGGCAGACCTGTCTTGTAATAGAGAATTGTAGTTTATGCCCTATCTAAGCCCAAGCTTGTGTGGGTGCCTAGGCTGGCAAGGGAGTTCTTCTAGTTCTACCATGATACGTGACAGGATCCGTGTGTCGAAAATGTGCAGTTGTTGAGTGTTTGTGAAGAAGAGAGACCTGTGACTTTATGAGTATTTTTGATACTGTGTGATGATTGCTCCGGAGCTGTCTTTACTAGTCTTAACATTACCTTTTTAACCTTCAAGTTCAGCATCATTTACAGTAGTTCACTATGGCATGTTGGAACAGTATCCAAGTTTAATCATAAAAAGTATGCAGTGGCTAGAGATACGGTACCATCCATATCATAACTTCCGTTTGCAAAAGATACGGTAAATTGTATTATCCACTAAAATGCTGCCATGAATTCCCGCCGCCACCATCGTTTAAAAATTGCACGCTGTGAGCCTGCTTTCCTGCCGAGTTGTTATAACACTAACCACATAAAGCATAATGGCCATTCGTAGCAGGCCTAGCTAGGCTAATTACAGTATGCTTTTTTGGCATAATTTGGACCCCCGTAGCATATGTAGAATTAACGATGCATAATTTCATGAGAACATAGCATATTTCAATTTAGAATTGATATAAATTCCATTAGGGCCTAAATTTAGAAAAATAAATTGGGAAAAAAAATCTGAGTGCCATTTCTACAGGGTAATATAAACAGAAAACATCAAGCAACATTAATTGGACTAGTCATTTCTTGATCTTTACTTATTTTGTGTACAGAATTTAACACAAACAAAAAATTAAACTACAAAAATCTTTTAACTTAATTTAATATATCCTCCTCCCCACTTTTGCCAACACTGGTTGGTAAGGTGAAACTTCCACATATCATTTTACACCTTTTTAGATAAGTTTTCATAGTATAGTGATGTGTCACCTGTGTGTGCATTTTTAACAACCTTTCAACATTACAACTGAGTGCCGGCAAAATTTTGAATGTTTTTTTTTTGTTTTCCGTCTGTATTGGTGTGGCATCTTGCTTTATAAAGAACCATTTCAGCCATTTACATTACTGTTAATCTCTCTTCATAATAAAACAAATGTGAACAACAACCTTGCTACTTTTAGCCTGTCAATAACTTGATAGCAACCTAATTCTTAGTTGGGTTGGAAAAAATATTACGGTACTGTATTATTAATATTATTCTCAACAACTGGCGGATTTAAATTTTCTATAGTCTAGATTGAATTTTGCACATGTTCAAGGAAGTTTAGTTAGTAACTGTGAAATTTCTTGATTGCTACTTTCAACCAGTACAGCAAGTCATTGTTCCTTTGATTTAACCTTAAATTAACTTACTTTAGCTGCCTCCATTCCTTGTTCCATTTTGCCCAGACGCCAGCAACATTCATTACCTGCCACAAAGATGTAGTTGCCACTCTATTTGTGTCTTTTTGAAGCTGTTGCATCCTTTCCCGCAGACCATTGTCCTCTGGTATTATCGGATATGTGAATGTCTCATCCAGCTCATTATTCTCATTTGTGCTTGGGTCTCCCGCAAGGTTTCTGCAGGTTAACTGGAGGCAGGGGGGGGGGGTGAGGTCCCATGCCTGGGGATTGGGGAATTGCAATTCCCTGATCAGTGCTGTCACCACCACCTGGAGGGCCTGCAACGGAAAGAGCAGAACTGTTGCAAGCTTCTGCACATATAGCGAATGCCTGTAGCTACATATGCAATGCAAATGCCACTAGAGTGCAAGCAGTGCCCTCTCTGACATACTTGAACCATCACCAGTTATTATAAAACAAGAAGTTGAATCAGTTTTTTCATTCATCATTATTTATTGTTGATGGTGTAATATTTAGTACAAGTCCACACCCAAATTGTTTTTTGAATTTAGTAGGCAACTCAGTAAATCTTGGTAATTATTATTGTATTGTATACATACTTGATAGTACTGTAGTGGGAAAGGATGGCCTCAGTGGCCTTTATACAGGAGCTCTACATCAATCTAAACTTGTCTTGAAACAGTTCACTTAGGGGGCTTCTAGATAGTACAATAAAACATCTTCAGTTGCAAATGTTGATAATTCTTTGTGAAAAAAAATCTTTTCTACATTGAAGGGACATTACAAAACCATTTACTAGGAAGGATGTCCTCTGGTTCTGGTTCTTCCTTGTTTTTAAAAAAAAACAAAAAAAAACAGTGGAATCCACTTCCTTGTGAAACTCAGACCATTGGCACATTGTGAGCTTATATTCGTATATTTGGAAATTAAGAATCCTAGTTCTGTCCTTAACAAAAAAGTAATATGTTTAGGCATTACTGCTTTGAGAATTTTGAGTAAAGTACAGTAATATAAATAAATGGTGTTTATCATGTTGTAGGAGGATTTGGACAAAGCACTCAGTCGGGTGGCTACTTCAACTCCCCTGGTGGATTTGATGCATCACAAAGTACACAGAAACAGGTAAATATATTTAGCAGGGGTGGGCATAAAAATCGGCCGGAGGGCCACAGAGAATTTTTGATTTAATACAGAGGGCCACACCCAAACTTTAATGCTTCCGAAAACCTCCATGCAATGCTTTATACTTCTTTACTTTTAATATTACTTTTTACATATGATCGGTGTAGGCCATAAAAAAACAAGGTGTTTTCTATCCAAAAATGTCATTTTCATGGGCCGTGAAAAAATCGGGCCGCACTTTGTCCATCTGTGATACAATAGCATAGATATTGCCTCATTGCAGACAGTACTATTTTAAAAAGTGGTCAAAATTGGGACAATTTTTATAGAAGTAGAGATCATTTTGTGTGTTTGGGGTAATTTCAGAGTTTGTTTTTAATAAAATACCGTATTTATTTGAATTAATGCCCATAAGCTTTTATTTTTTCCTTGAATAAACAATAAAATTAATAAACTTTTTCATACAAAACTATTATTATGTCTTTATTCATAAAATGTTGCTAATAACTTTAGTATACAGTAATCCTTTACAAATTGAACATAGATGCTAGTATTTTTTATAATTAACTATAAAAATAATAAATACTTTACATAAAAATATTTTATATTTTAAAAATTCTTTGTCATTTTTATAGTGTAATTAAACTTTTCAATACTCATTTGTTAATGACATTTTATTTATGAAATTGACATAAATTCGTTTTTTTGTAGGACAAACCAAAGAATTTTATGCCATGTACAATTGCACAAATAAAGATGTCGGAACAGGTTGACGATTACTTTAGAATTGGTGATGTGAACATTCATCAGGTATGTCATTATCTGAAGTGTGGAAGTATTATGTCATGTTTAACGATGGCTTCATTTTCTAGTGCAGATGTAGAGCTAAGTAAACACAGAATTTTTTTTCCATGATATCTTTATTTCTTTATTGCATCCAACAGTGTAAAACACCTATAACAGGACAGAAATTAAATATAAAATGCAATATATTTTAATTTATAATGTAAAACGATTATATATGATACGCATTGAAGAAATGGCCTTTAGATTGTGTTTAAAACACAAACAACAAACAAACATTTCAATCAAACCATTTTATATTACAAAATTATGGCATGGCTTTATAAAATTTGAAGGTAAAATGATGCCATCATGATTAACTTTTAAAGATATGTTTTATAGCAAATGGAAAGGCTGGTTTTTCATTGTTACATCTTAGTTACAATGATGGATAGATAATGGTAGTTTCTGTAAATTCTAAAATATTTTTTGATAGGTGACTGTTATCGGACTGGTCAGAAGGATTGAAGTCCAGGCTACGTGTGTTTTGTACGAACTGGATGACATGACTGCACCTACAATGGAAATACGACAGTGGAGTGACACAACGGTACGATTCATTAATATTTACTAAGCGCATTAACAATCTTACTCAAAATGGCTACTTAAGATGTAGTAACAGTTAGCTCTATTTACATTGTTTAAAAATAATTAGAATTAAACTTAGGCACACTCACGATACAAGAAATTACAACATATGGGTCTTATCATATGGGCATGCTTGGACTGTGTACCTGGTGATTGGACAAGTTTTAGATGATACAAACAAAGCAGGATAACAACCAATCAACAGTTGTTATGTGCCAACCAGTAAAATAAACAATATTCACATTTTTCATAATTGATTGATTTTTTTGGAATTCTGTCTAATCTTTTATTATAAAAGTTTGTATTGTTTCAATCCCATAATTCACAACTTTTGTGGCTGTTCAATAATTTGCAAATAAATAAATATTGTTTTTAAAGATAATTCCCCAAACCACATTATATTTAATAAAATGTGTGCACTCTTAAAATAACTTGCAATTTCTCTGAAATTGAATAGATATGCGTTACTTTTAAGAAAAATATTCACATGCTACATGCAGTTAAGACATGACCACTTTTTGATTGATTGATTGTGTGTGAATCGTAATAAAGAAAATTATTTAGAAGAATGCCAAATATTGTGTTTTAGGTCCAATCGAGTCCCTATAGCAAATATCCTAGGCCCTATTATAACCTATGGTTCAAAACAAAGAGAGCCTGATGAATTTGCTACAATTTATTTATTACAATCATAAAATTTATTCATGTTTTTACAAAATTTCTTAGTGCTGAGTGGTTGACTGAGAGGTATGTTCCTGCTTTTTGCGCTTTAGACCCAGGTTCAGACCAGGCTAGAGTCAGTTATAATTGGAGTCTGGAAGGCTCAGCTCCTCAAATAATCTTCAGTTAGGTGGGTTAAGTATCTGGTACATGTTGTAGTTAAAGAGGGTGGCGCTTTAATGCTGCTGCCGTGCGTTCCCAAGTGCTGAACCTAAATTTCCAATTTCCATGAGAATAAATAATAATTATTATTTAATGGGATTATTCGACTGGTTTATTCGTTGACTACGATTTTTTGTTGAGTATTATTTTCATTCGATTGGTTCGTAAAATATACTTCATTCACGACGAAAATTAATGTAAACCAGGGGGTGTTAATCAGCGGTAAGTTGTCCATGTGACCAAAACAAACATGGCCAATTGGTCAGTTTACCAACAACATATGAGTTTAATATGATTTAGATTAAATTTTAGAAATTAAAAATTATATATTTACCCACTTGAAGTTGAAAAATTATTGTAGGCTAACAGAATTCAAAAACTGGATGAAAATATTTTTTACGAAAAATAAATGGGCAATTCCATGACTTTTTTTCAGATTTAGCAAATTTTCAACTTTGAGGAATGTAAACAAGTTTTATATCAAACTAAAGCTTAAAAAATGAATTTTTAGGATTCATTGATGTAACTTTTCTTGTGTGGATGTATAAAAATATATAGGAATTTGAAATTACATAATTTTGAAAATATAAAAAATATGAAAATGTCATGTTTTTTCAAAGCCTCTAGAAACTAACAAACTGCCATTTATGCCAGTCATTTTTATTTTAAATTGGAGAACTTAACATATTTTATTAGTTTTTGTGACAAAAAGTAATATTCATTTACAACAAAATATTAAGGCGGGGCAAAAATATTTCTTAATATTTTTGTCGGTCTGTGACCCAAAAAACAACATTTTTTAGGTTTATTAAGTCATGTAGCTTTCAACCATTGTGAAATTCATAAAACTATTGGAGCTATTAGGCTAACATTCACTGACAAGATTATTTAAATTTTTGGACTTATTTATTCATATTTTTATTACATTAATTTTAGTCGGTCTGTGACCAAATTAGTCACAGACCGACTTGTCGGTCTGTGACCAATGATATTACAATAATCTTTAAGCAAACTTTTTACTGTAAAGTTGGTTATATTCAATAAACAAAATTAAAATGACAAAAGACATGGGCCTGGGAAAGGTTCTAAGGACATTTAGTTGTTTATTTGAAAATAACAATGATTTGGCTTCATAATAGAGTTCTCAACAACCACTAAATTGGGTATATTAAACCATGTGACTAAGTAGTTGGAAGCTGAGTGGGTAAAATCTTTCAAATACATAAAGCTGTAGTTTATCATTCAGTATAGATCTTGA